AAATATGAATCTTCTTCTAGTTTGAGAAATTTAATTGATAACGTAGACAGGAACTTACGAGCCTTGGAAAATTTGGGAGAACCTGTTAAATTTTGGGACACGTTAATTTTGTATTATTTAGGAACTAAACTTGATCGCGTAACATTAAAGGAGTGGGAACCTTTTAAAATAAAAACAGAGATGCCTGAGTTAAAAGATTTTAAGCAAATTCTAAAAAGCCGTGCAGACTTGTTAGAGACCTTGGAAAACAATTCCCGGACAAAATTGAAGGAAAATTTTACGGGCAAAAACAAAGGGTTTTTGTTGCTGGGGTTGAAAAAAGCAAGTGTGTTATTTGTAAAAGCGGTCATGACATCAGCGAGTGTAAGAAATTTTTGGAGCTAACAACCAGCCAGAGAATTGCGCAAATAAAACGAAACAAATTATGCATGTGTTGTTTTTCGAACAAGCATTTTAGTTTTAATTGTCAAGGGAAAAAATGTTCGCAGTGTGGTTTAGGGCATAATGTTCTATTACATTTTTATAACCAACGCCAAACTGAACATGGCAGTGTTGAAAGTGCCCCAATTGCTGACGTACAAAAGGCTGTAGAAGCGCCTTCAAATGAAGGAAGTAAAACCTCTGTGGCGCTATCGAGTAGAAATTGTGGGACTCAAGGTCAGGTGTTACTTTCTACAGCGATTGTCAAAATAAAAGATGTGAGTGGCAATGTGCATCATTGCAAGGTTTTGTTAGATTCAGCTTCAATGAGCAATTTTATCACTGAAAAAATGTGTGACAGACTTCAGTTAAAAACAAAAGATGCGAATGTGTGTGTGGTTGGGATTGGTCAAAACACTGAAAAGATTTCGAAACGGTGTGAAGTAGAAATCAGTTCTCAGAAAGGTGATTTCAAAATTAGTATCAGTTGTTTAATCATTCCAAAAATTAGTGATGAGATTCCTTTGTGTGAAATTGAGTTAGGGCCAATAAACATTCCAGGAAATATTTGTCTAGCAAACAGTGAATTTCATTTGCCTGATGAAGTGGATATGTTAATTGGTGCAGGTGTGTTCTGGAAACTCATAAGAGTAGGAAGAATCCAATTAGGGGAAAACAAACCTGTCTTACAAAACACTTGGTTAGGATGGGTAGTAGCGGGCTACATCAGTGGACAAGGATCTCGAGTCAAACCTAAGAAAACGGTGTGCAACCTAAGTATCGGTACAGAGGTACAAGACCAACTGGCCAAGTTTTGGGACTAGAAAAGCCAGGTGGAGGTCAAATCGAGGGAATGACACGGGATGAAGTTCATTGTGAAAATTTGTTTGTGTCAACAACAAGACGTGATCAGGATGGTCGATTTGTTGTTGCAATCCCATTGAAAATGAGTATTGAAAAGTTGGGAGATTCTCGAGAGATGGCATTGAGGAGATTTTACTCTTTGGAGAGGAAATTTGCCAGGGACAAGCAACTACATGTAGATTATTGTGAATACATGAGAGAGTATGAACAAGTAGGTCACATGACTCAAGTAAGTGAGGACATCACGAATGAAAGGTGTTATTACTTACCACATCATGCTGTGAAAAATGAAGGAAGTTCTACAACAAGGTTAAGGGTTGTGTATGACGGCTCTGCACAATCAGACTCGGGTGTGTCACTTAACGATTTGCAATTTTCGGGGCCAAGAATTCAAGAGGATATCATTTTAATTTTGTTGAGGTTTAGACAACATGAAGTAGCATTCTGCGCAGATATCGCCAAAATGTACCGACAAGTATGGGTTAGGGAAGATCAACGCCATTTACAAAGGATACTGTGGAGAGAAAATCCAGCAGAAGAAGTCAAGGTCTACAATTTAAACACGGTGACGTTTGGATTAACCTCAAGTCCATTTTTAGCGGTAAGGTGTTTGCAAGAACTGGCAAAAAATTGCGAACAAACGCAGATTTCAAAGGTAATTGGCAAGGATTTTTACGTTGACGATTTGATATCAGGGGCCTCGTCGATTCAAGAGGCACTTCAGAAATGTAAGGGTGTTTGTGAGGTTTTAAAATCTGGTGGGTTTGAGCTCAGAAAGTTCAGTTCGAACAAGAAAGAGTTCTTGGAACAATTTGGAGTAAGGCCCAAGGCAGAATTACAAACTCTTAATCTAGGAGAGCATCAACACAAAACTTTGGGATTGTATTGGGACTGTCAGGCAGATATCTTTACCTACAGGGTGAGGGAATTTTCAAGTAATTCAAGTACCACAAAACGGAAGATTCTGTCAGAAATTGCCCAGCTGTTCGATCCACTTGGGTTAGTCAGCCCATGTGTCGTCATTCCCAAAATTATTTTACAAAGATTGTGGATACTCAAGTTGGATTGGGACGATGAAGTACCGACCAATATTGCCCAAGAGTGGAAACAATTTAAGCAAGAAATGGTGAAATTAAACATGCTGCATATTCCAAGACATGTAGGTAGCAACAATGCAGAGGACATAGAACTTCATGGATTTTGTTATGCTGCACAAGAAGCGTTTGGAGCATGTGTCTATGTCAGAAATGTCACGAAGGATGGAAGTGTAGTCGTTCGCTTATTGTGTGCAAAAAGTAAAGTTGCCCCGATAAAGGCACTAACTATACCGAAATTGGAATTGTCAGGTGCATTATTACTTTCAAGGTTGATAAAAGAAGTACAAACTTCCATGACGTTAACTTTCAGGAAACTGTTTTTGTGGAGCGATTCTACAGTAACATTAAGTTGGATAAAATCACCAGCAAATCAATTCCAAGCTTTTGTCGCAAATAGAGCATCTCAAATTCAGTCTATGACGGATCAAGACAATTGGCATTATGTGCGGTCAGAAGAAAACCCCGCAGGGGACTTTTTCCTTCCAAGTTGTGTGGAAATAAATTGTGGTTTGAAGGTCCACAATGGTTGTCACAAGATTTCTTTCCAAATCAGGGTGTTAATGTACCTTTAGAGGAACTTCCAGAAAGGAGGAAGCGAGTAAAAGCCTTTTTGAATACAGAGAAGAATAGTCTAAAGATTTTTTCCAGATATTCCAGTTGGACAAAATTGAAACGTGTATTTGCATATTGCTTAAGGTTTACGGCACGTTGCAGAAAATTGGATAGTCACGAATCAAAGAATTTGACAGTGAAGGAACTCCAAGAGTCTGAAAAAATGTTAATAAGGTTATCACAAGATGAATGTTTCGAAAATGAGCAGAAAATCTTGGAGACCGGTGAGAAGAAAAAAAAAGGGTTGGTTGTCAAATTTAAATCCGTTTCTAGACGCCGACGGATTAATCAGAGTAGGCGGAAGACTAGCGCTTACAGAATTTAAATATGACAAAAAATTCCCAATTGTGTTAGACCCAAAACATCCATGTACAAGATTGATTGTTAAGGCAGAGCATTTGAGACTATTTCACAATTTCCATTCAATACCACAGGGGTTGATTATACAGGGCCGTTCAATTTTAAAATAGCTTTGGGACGGGGCACGCGTTTGTACAAGGGGTATGTTTGTTTATTTATCTGTTTTTGCACACGTGCAATACATTTAGAGGCTGTAACAAGTCTGTCTACGCAAGCATTTGTTGCAACTTTCAGGAGATTCGTGTCTAGGAGGGGCAAACCAGAAAAAATGTTTTCAGACAATGGTAAAAATTTTGTGGGTGCTCAGACAGAACTGAGAGAGTTGGGAAAATTTTTGCGTAATAATCATATCAGTTTAAAGACATTGATTGCGACAGAAGGTGTTAATTGGTCTTTTATTCCGGCATATTCGCCTCATTTTGGGGGTTTATGGGAGTCAGGGGTAAAAAGTGTAAAATACCATTTAAAAAGAGCTGTGGGCAAGGCAAATTTGACTTATGAGGATTTTTCTACTTTGTTGTGTCAAATAGAGGCCATTTTAAACTCACGTCCTCTCACTCCAATGTCCTCTGATCCTTCTGATTTGGACGTTTTAACCCCATCCCATTTCCTGATCGGAAGAAGGGCAACCTCAATACCGGACCCACGATTGCTCGAGCAACTTGAAAATAGGCTTGCTAGCTATCAACGTATTCAACAATACCAACAAGGTTTTTGGTCTCGTTGGTCACTGGAATACATCGCTGAACTTCAGAGGCGCGTCAAATGGAAGGCTGGCGGGGACACTCTGCAGGAAGGAACATTGGTGCTCGTGAAAGAAGAAAATGTGCCTCCCTTGTGTTGGAAAATGGGACGCATCGTTCAGTTATATCCAGGAAAGGACAACATTAATCGGGTGGCTGATGTAAAAACGAGTGAAGGTGTCATCAAACGTTCATTCGCAAAATTGTGTCCTTTGTTTCACGAAAGTGGGTGAGAAAAAAACTCAGTTCAAGTGGTTTTAAAGGTTGTCTAAGACAAATTGAGTTTCAAGAAATGTTTGTTTTGTTGTTTTTTTTTTGAAAGAGGGTTCTTTCAAGGCTGGGGGTATGTTGAGTTCAAAATTATGTGAATTTCTTTTTAATTTTGTGTATCTTAAACATGCCGGACATTTCAGTCAATGTGACAACAGGGCGTTGTACGCCAAACCGGCAAGGTCTACGTTTCTGCTAGGCTAGTAACAATTTTGTAGCGTTACGGGGTAGACGTTCACGGCATGGGTCGCGACGTCGCCGCAAAGTGAGATACAGTCCATTTATAGAAAAGAAAAATTCAATAAATATTAAGTGATTGAGGAAACGCTTGTATTATTGAAGAAACAACATATCTAGGTTTAAATGCGTCTCCTTTGTTAAATTTAAATTTATAACCCTATATCGCTAATTAAAAGTATTATTACATGTATATATATAGATAGGTGTCATAAATAGTAAAAACATTAAAATCCTCGAGGTTTAGGTATCAAAAACCTTATTGACAGCAGAATTCAAAAAAATTCTATACTTTAAAAGAGGTTACTTCTGGTATAATAATAATGTAACCATAACAAACCTTAACATGTTCCAATATTTTTTGTATCCTTATGTACCCTGGGAACCCAGCACTTACCTAATATTACAACAATTTCGAACCTCTCTCTAAGTAGATCCGTAGCGGACATATTGTACAACGGGGAGTTCTTATCTATTTTATGCACTATGGTGGTGGGCCAGATGAAGAATATTTTATCTTCTTCTCCGTCACCTCCAACCTTCAAATAAAGTCATGGTCAGCGAATGCAATTGAAAAAACTATTAGAAAAGGCGAAAGATCGCAAAGCCACGGCATAACTTCCCCAAACGTGAGGGGAGTAAAACTTGGTAAAGTTACCTTTACGCCATTACATATATTATTCTGTAAAACTTGAAAATTGCTTCCGTATTTGAAGTTCGCACATGCTAGTAGGATAAAATCTAGTTTTGCAAATAACTACCTAACTAAAAATAGAAAAAGAAGGCCACATACCTCTTTACTTACTTTATCTCTTACCTTTAGTTCCGTCTGGAAAAAAGGCAAGTGCTCCCCTTCCTTGGTAACCTTGTGTTTGATAAGCTGGGCCCTCACATGAGCTTCGATGATGTGGCTCTTCCTCATATCACCGACCCTAAACATCAAACATGGCACTCCGTCCCTATGGCTTATCACAGCGTTTCTTGAAAACAGCAGAGTCTGCGTTCTTTAATAAAAAGATGACTATGACTATCTTTCCTGTATAAATTAGAGAGCATACCTCTTTTTTGGTCGAGATAGCTTAGCGAATACCACGCCCACCATAAATGCTTGGATCATGACACCAGCTATGCTCTGTATACACATAACGAAAATTGCCTCAGGACATTCTTCGGTCGTTGTCCTTACTCCGTACCCGATGGTGTGCTGGGTTTCTATACTGAAGAGGAATACAGAAGCGAAACTGCGGACACCTGTTATACATGGTTCCACGGGTATTGTCGCATTCTGAAATTCAAATATGAAGATTTGTAAAATGCTGAACGCTTCTGAGGGGAGTTTCTCCCGAAATACAACCAGTAAAATTTAAAGAGCATAAAAAGTGAAACAATTTTTTGAAAATTAAAATCAGCAAAATACACTATAATTTCAACAAACAAAGATTAAGATGGTTGATCAGCTCTGTCAAAGTGTTTCTGCCATTATCGAGTATCCAACTCTCAACAGCTATCTTAAAATTTTTAAATGTATTTATAGCAGCAATATTATCCGAAATCATATTATGCCGAATATTGGCTCCCTTGTACATTTTATAGTAAAGCTGTAACTCACGTATAAAACTTTGCAAAAAGAACGTTATTTTTTTAAGTAAATGTTAATACAACCCTCCATTAGCAGTTAAACGATATCTAAAATTCATTTCTAACATTGATTAGTTGATATTGTGAAATCATGCCACATTCTAATGAAATAGAGTTTTGTAACTGGTTAAGATTTTTAAATTTAACGTTTTTATAGATAACACTTTTTAAGTGAACCAGCAGAAAGAAGTCGTTCGGCGAGAGGTCAGGTGACCTAGAGAGCCAAAGGATTCGACACCTTGAGCCAATAATATTCCAGTTAAAAGTAATTTTGTAATACATCCATATAGATATCAGTCGTGAGGTTATCGGTTATATATTACTCTTCTTTCTTCATCGTATTTATAGGAAAAATATTTTTTTTTAAAGAGCGCCACACTGTAGTTTGATATTTACGTCCAGCTTATCTTTTTGGTGCCTTTGGACTCGAATTGGGTAGTAATACGTTGAATTGTTGAAATCGAATGTATAGTTTTAGCAGGAAAATAAACTGACATTTCAGAGACCGCTCTAAGACTGTTTCCTGCATATTACTGCCATTATGGTTACTTTTTCTTCAATTGAATAACGCATATTTAGCTTTAATTAAGGCTTGTTTATTAACCCATAACAATCATAAATAAAAATGTTATTATCGTCAAGAATTTTCGTGTTGTCATTGTCAAAATGTATTTTACTGGTACTTAATTTATAACCTAAACAATAAAAATTTTTTAACATTGCCATCATATTTAATTTAAAAACTGAAGATTGGCTTACTAAAATTTATTCAAACTCGGAACATGATTTAATTATACAGACCCCTTCAAAAAGTGATGTTACAACTTTGCTATAAAATGTACAAGGAAGCCAATATTTGGCCACTTAAAAATTTATATCGCATTTCCTATGTTCCGTTCAGCAATGCATCACATCCTCGGTGCAAAATAATTGTACCCTGGACATTTGCCTTTGAACATATAGTTATATAAGTCGACGTTTCCCTGGCCTCGTGGTTGTGTTCCACTGATTTTAATAAATTCTTTTTTTTTTGTATACGTCCCTCAGTAATATAAGACCATAAAGCTTCCCGGAACAAAGCATCACTTGAGAGAAATCATTTCTATATATTATTCTAATAATAAATGTTTTGTAGCATCTCTAACTTGTTAAAGTAACATTCGGCAACTCCATCCCAATCTACAATTCCGCAAGGCAAGTGTGATTAAACAAGTGCAATATATAAGCTTTTAAGTTGTGAAAGGGTTAGGGTTAATACACGGCCAGGTACCGCTGATATTTTTAACAACATTCTGTAATAATAACAATAATTATTCCCAGATACTTTACAAATTCGGCTTCTAAAATCTCTGTTTTCATCTATCTTCAACGGGGCAAGATTCGACAGATAGCTGTTGCATGACGGAAATGAGTATCCACCACAAACCACAACATAAACGACGCTTTCTGCATATTCTTCTACATTTTGCCAGTTAATTCTCTTGTAGACTATTATCAGCAAAATTTACTACTTTTGCAAGGGAATTTATTGTCATTAAATCATTTATATAAATATAGAAGAACAGCGGCCCAAGTACATTGCCCTGTGGTATACCGCAAATAACCCCTCTATATTAACATACTGAGTTCTGATAGCGAAATAACTTTTTGTTAGGTTGTAAGTGCGTACTGAAAACCCATAACATCTCATTTTATAAAAGTCTAGAATGAGAGATGGTATCAAATGCCTTGGAGAGATCCAAAAATATATTAGGCCGTTTCGACCTTAATGTGTAGTAAATCTGCTCTGAAAGATCACAAATTGCGTCATTAGTCGATTTTTTCTCCTTAAATCCAATTCTTGGGACAGTCAGGAAGGCACTGATGATGGAAACATTTATTAATTAAATATGTAAACAATCGTATATTATCACATCCCGGAGATGTCTTTGGTTTTAAAGTGTTAATAGTTTGTTTTACCTTCGTTTAAAATTTGTGGGAGGAATCCGCATATTCCCTGCAAATACTACTATAGAGAAGATGAAAACTGTTTGAAATATAGATAATATCAGTGCGGGTCTTGTTATCATCTGTCTCTTATTTATCTTACTCTGCGCCTTGGTCTCCCACATAGTTTATTTACGCATTCTCACAATGTTGTAGAACATTTGCTTTTCTTTGCCATATAGTCTTGTTTATCTAGGCCAGTGGCTTAGTTAGGCCACTGTTAGCAAAAATACTGCTCAACAAAAACAACTTTATTTGTCGCTTGTACAGAGTCTTTCATATGTTGTGCTGGGTTAGGGCGGAGTCTCGGAAAATCCTTTAAAAAATCTTAATTTTCATATTTTGAAGGACATCCAAATGGGCGCAATTTATTTAGACAAAGTACATATAACATTAGAAATGAAGAAGTATATCCCACAACAAGTTCAAAAACGTAAGGACGAAGAACATATATGTAAATATGTTGCTCCGCGATTGTATAATATAAATATAAAAACTAGCTTAAAAAAGGTACAAAATTTTAAAAAAATTAAAAATTTGACTGAGAGCTGGAAGGTTGAGATAGGTACCAAAACGTTCAATGAGCTAGCAAACTTGAAATATCATAGATATTCCAGAATAAAATGTTCAATAGGTGCCGATTCTATCTCTGTTTTGGTGATATTAAATTATTTTGTAGCTTAGAATAAATATTGAGTTAAATCGTTAAATAATTATAGGTAGTTAAGTATTATGTGTATGTTAGTTTTTGCTATACTGCTTCTGTGTTTTTTTCGTTCGACATTCTGTAATCGCATCTACTGATCATTTTTCTCATGTGTCCTATTTTCTTTCATGTTTTATGTTAAACTGATCTGTAAAAATATTGAAACAGTTACGTTTAATGCTGTTAATTAGAAACGATTTGAAAATCAAATTCGTAAAAAAAGTATCACATAATCGGTGTATTGGTACATAAAGTCAGACACGCACAAAGCAATAATCTGTAAAAACACAAATCTTCTAGATTCCTCTTGCTTAGGTGGTTGGTGAATCAAAATTTCTGACGTTCCGCGTCGACTTCTTCAGAACTTAACTAAAACTGGTTTGTATTGTGCTCTGTAGCTGCTCGGCTGACGACTGGTTCCCATATTGGTGAGAGACTTGAGTCGCGGATAAGAGTAAAGTTAAGCTCTGAAGAAGCCAATATTATGAATCGAGAAACATTAGCACGTTCAATTCATCAACAACCGACGTAAGAAGAATCTATAAGATTTGTAAAAGAGTCTTGAAAAACTAACATGATACTAGCTCAATTGATGTTACAAATTAAAAATAAATTAGTAGTTTAAATACACAAGAACTTAATAATAATTATTATGTTAATCCAGCGCAAACTTTATGAATAATAATTGGAGAAGTCCGTTAGCAGTCAAGACAACTGCAAAATGACTTCAACAAAGGCTTAAGTATCCAAAATGTACCTAATAGGTTAAGGGAGAATGGAAAACGAGTAAGAGTAACAGAAATAATAACAGTGCCTTTCATGAGACTTATAACAGTTGAAAGATGAGAACGCAGGATTGTATCTGGATTCCAAATATTAGTGACCATACTCTAGTCTACAATTCTCTTTCAGTATCACGAAAATATTTTCCTGCAAGATTTGCAAGGACCCGAAACTAAAAAATTTGAATTTGACATTGAAGTTGCGGACAAAAAGTTTGAATTTATTTCAATTAATGTTGACATGTTTCAAGACGTATAAAATTACAAAAAATATGCACCGTTTAGGTATGATGAAAGATAATGATAAAGTGCTTATTAAATATAAACATACTAAAACTGCAGCTTCAAAACCTATTAGTCTAACAGATTAAAATTAGATAATTCTAAATAAATGTGGTCTACTCTAAGAGCACGATATTCTACCTCTACTCAGTAGTATTATTAATGATTGTTGGCTCTATTGAAAAGCTCGGACCAGATCATGAGACCTAAAAGTTTCATGAAAAAAATGTATGGCAAAAATTATGAAAAAAAATTGAAACACTTGAAATTATTAATATTAAAACCATAACTTACCATTAAGCATTTTCCGTCATTTTTGATATCATACTTTACACATATAACATTATGTATAGAAAAAGCGGAATCTCCTAGCCAATTCTGCGGTTACCCAACATCTTTAATCCTGCTGTAGTTTAAAACCTCCTCATTATAAGTGTTGTGCCAACGTTCTTGGAGGTTTTAGAGAAAATAAGTGAAAGCCAGGTGGTTAGCTACCCAAATAAATTTAATATAATCCCCGAAAGTAATAGGGATTTAGACCTAACTGCAGTTGTTGCGTGACCCGTCTCAATAATAATGATTGTTAGTTTTGTTAGACTATTCTAAACCGTTTAATTACTCAGTGCTTTTACCAATTTTCAATTATATTGGTTTGAATCTATTTACACGAAAGCTTGTTAACAATTATCTTATCAACCGTCGAGACGCGGTAGTTTCTGGTATCAGAATGTTAAGTTCTCTAGAAGTATCCTCTGAAGTCTCTCAATCTCTGTTTTGGGATCTCTAGTACTCTCTACAATAACGTATTAACTATACTTTAAATCACAAAAGAATAATGTAGAGTTGTTGTTGACCGATTCGAACTTGAGATTTACGCCACATGTTAATGCTGTCTGAAAAAAGCGTACATGAATTTGGTCTTATCTCAAAATGATATGTTGTAATGTTGTCGATGGTATCTGGTTAACAGTCTATTATAAGTACTGAATACGAAAGATACAAAATTCTTGTCGGCTCTTTCGGACTGATGTAAATAATGTTCTACAAATTTCTGTCATCAAATCAATAATCCTTTTATTTGAGCTGTTGGTCTTCAACTCAATATGAAATATCTCTCCATTATTATAACTTATACTTATTATTTATAATTACTTTATTATTATTATTATTATTATTATTATTATTATTATTATTATTACAGGGACAAACACATATATATCTGTTGCGATAGCCGTGCAGACCACGGGTCGCCCATGTCAATCGAAATCACCTCAAGGATGATCCGAGATTGCATTGAGATGCTTGACAGGCTTGCTAAGGCAAATCACGTCAGCACTCGTCTGGGTCCCAGGACACTGTGTAATCCCAGGCAACGAGAGGACAGATAGGCTAGCAAAAAGTGGAACTTCTCACACAAGTACACTACCGATCTGTGGCTTGAAGCTAAAGGTAAGAGACACATTAAAGCCCTCTTTCAGGGGCAGTCCCGAACTCTTGCTTCCAGCCTTATCGAGCTCAATAGGAATCAGCTGAGGCTGGACTGATAACTGGACACTGGTCAACAAGAAAGCATCTTAGGAACATTGGCAACATATAAGACGTATTATGTCCAAGATGCAACGCAGCGGATGAAACTCCTCTGCATGTACTTGTCGACTGTGAACCACTCAGCGAACTCTGACAGGAAATTGTAGGAGTCGACACAGGAAATAGTATCAACGTTCTGGAAGTTTATTATTATAATTAATAATACCTAAAAAGCGTTTCGATTAGTTTTAGATTGAGCCTGCTGTAAATCTGGATAAAAATACCACGCCTGGGACAATTTACTACTGAAGTTAAAAATGCGAAATATTAATGATTTTTATATTATCAAGAGTAACAGGACTAAGTAATTCTTTTTTGCTTTTGGTCCCATGATTAATATGTTATTGTTGTACATAACTTACTTGCCTATGGTCCTTAAATTGGTAGAAACCATTTAATATTTAAACGGGCTTGATTTGAAAAATGTATTATTCAGCTGCCACCACTCAATAATACGTTAAGCTTCTTGTGGTCACCACAAATCTTGCAAATTATAAATACGATAATACGAATGATACTGGAAATGCGAATGAACATTTTTTTTGTTATATTTAAACTATTAATAAATTAATAATTCACTGAGGTTGGAAAATGAACTAGACGAGTCCATACGGTTCAAGGCACATGGTGATTCTGTTGCCCTCTTTATCTGCGGCTTAAGCAACGAACCACCACTTCGACTTGCTGTCTATTTTAATAGTGGCCTTACAATATTGTTCATATATTGATAATTATTGGGTGGTAACATTTTTCTTTTCTTTTCATTTTGCACTTTTTGCTTTCTTTCACACCTTCATGTGCCTGAAAAATTTTCTAGGTTATTTTGCATTCATTAATTTGACGCACCGATAAGCACCGATAGCACTATCGTTTGGTAAATTTGTTTATTGTTTACTGGTGTCGGTCGCAGTCATTCGCTGGTGATGTTTACGATTCACGTACGTGATTGTAGCACACTTTTGATTCACATTAACGCTCTTAATTTTCCAGATCGAATTTATCAAAGCCGAAAGAATTTAGCTCATTTTTTATCAGCAAGCTATTTTTAGAATCAAAAAATTATTTATTATAGTAAATTTGTTGCTACCCGTGTAAGCGATCTTTGAATAAATGAAGTCAGATATGTGAGTAATTATTTTTTTCCATGTCATTGCTTTTGTTTTCCTTTAAATTTAGCTGAAAAGGCATAATCTAATTCAATCCCTTTCACTCGTTAAAAAAAAATATTTTTTTTAAAATATAGAAAATGTGTTTTAATAATAGTCTAATATTTCGGAAATTTTTTAATGTTTATTTCGTCCCTAAAATGAAAAAACTTAATTTTTCATTCTATTTTAATCTATATCTTAATTACCCTATTAATTAATTAATTAATTTTATGGTTATTACCAGCTACCACACTGAAAACAAGCATGGTAACCTTTGTAATCACTTTGAGTTAAAAATTTTTATCTGCCGTACACAATTAAATGATCTGAGTTATATTCAAAAAATACTCGTTGGAAACTGAATCGCTATATAAAAATATTAATATGCTATAGCTTAGGGGTGACATTCTTAGTCGATACTCGAGGTTTTCTCTTCCAAGGAAGACAATTAAATGTGACATCGTTAATAGGTTGACACTAGTTTTGGTATCTAAAGTATCTATTGTATATATTGTATGTCCTTAATTTAAGGAAAATATTTTTCAAAAACTGTGAACGGAACAGTTAAACCATTCAGTTCAAAGTGAACAAATCTAATACAATTTTTTAGATGTACTACAGGTAATCCTTTTGATTTTGTGGAGTATATCGATTTTGCCAAGGCCTTGGTAACATGGTATTATCATTTTCAAGCTAGAACACATTCAGCAAAGATTGGTCCTTGATCATAAAATCATATCTTGATAAGCGTTTCTATTATGTCTCTATAAAAAATTTTACATCCAATGTTTAGCTTTTTATGGAGTGCCACAACGTTCGCGAGGGACCTTAGTTGTTTTTACTATTTATAAATGATATTGTCGATTGTCGAACTCAAAAGCTTTGTTATTTGCGGATGACATTAAACTATCCGGGAAAATAAGACTGCTGGTGAGTTGTTACAACAAGATATACAAAGTAACCATAGATATTTGAAATCTAAAATTAATTTTGCACTTAGTACTGACATCACCCTTGAATTCGTGTCGGTTAAAAAAGATCTGTATTGATGTTTGCCTTAAAATTGTCATTTACATTGTGTAGAAGTTTCAGTTTGTTAGCAATATTGGGTCCCCTTTCTATGCAAAATGCATTTAGATGGTAGAGAGCCTTAAAAAAATGTTTTGTCTTGCCAGCATCATACTAAAAAGAAACATTGGGACCATTTATGTAAACAACTTAATAAAATATACCTTGTTGTCTCTCTGCAATAGAAAAATTCTAAACTTAGCGGTCGACAACAAAATCATAAATATTGTGAATATAAATGTATCCAATAAAACGAGAATATTTATGAAATATGCAGGGACCAGTTAGCAGAAAAAGTCTGCAGGTTCAAATATGACAATTAACTACAATGAAGTTGAATAAAGGGGTGACATATTTGGCGAATGCAAAAATATATTTGTAAATAATTTAAAAAGACAGTATTCTCATTTAGTAAATATAGGTTTATTATTAGTTTATTATACGTAACTTGGTCATTGTGCTTAAGACCTTTAAAGTTGTCTAAATTAATAAATAAATAAATATCCCGACATATCACAATTGCAAATTGAACATTCTGAACAGACAAAAGTTAGTAGGTTTCATTAAGATTGAAATTTAATATCTTTAACTGTTTTTATATTTTAACGGAGTAACATAACATGATATGTAAAATTATTTGTAGGCTTTGTCGTAGAGGACATTCTATCGCCGAAAGACGAGGCAAACTAATGGTTCCCAATTAATTATGCTTGTCTTTGATTAAGCGTTCTATTAAAGACTTCTCTTGTCTCATATTATACCAATAAATAAAATACTTAAAAGCCCATAAAGCAAAACAAAACCATAAACTAACCGCATTCTCCGGGTTGAGGTCTCCATGCGTAAACACAATCAACCACCAGATCGAGGCAAAGAGTAACCAGGACAGCAAGAACCCCAGCGCGAACACCAACAGCGTCCAGCGCCATTGCGCGTCCACCAGAGTGGTGAAGATGTCCTGCAGGTACTTCCTTCGTCGTTTGGCAACGTTGCCCTGGACCACATTGCAGTCTCCGTGCTTGAACACTACTCGCTTTCGAATCCTTCTAGCGTTGAATCGACTTTGCCGGTATCTGAAACCAAATTGGTCATTTTTACATGTTGTAAGCTACAGAACAAATATTTATTTGAAAGGCGCTTTATACATGGTGCTCGCACAAAATAATTTTATTCTTCTGCTGAAGTATAATCGCTCAAACTTAGTAAAGACTATAGTTCCTTCCTGGAGCCTATTCCATAAGACAATATTTTCCAGGATGTTTGAAAATGTATTAATTAGTAATGAGAACAATTTAAATCAGTGAAAATGCACTTCTCTGTCCTCAGTATTGAAAAGTTTAATATCGATTACCATATCATATATAGTTGAAACCCTTGGTGATAAGTAGAATGCGAAAAGAGAAAAGATTAAAGTCATTGTAGGCATAAACATAAGTAGTCTGGACTACAGAGGTTTTCTTTTTGACTATACATCAAGAAGTTGTCTGAAAGTATATCGTCATATATTTTCATGCCAGACAAAGATGTAGAATGAGACTTTCTACAATTTGTTGTAAAAACAAATTTTCAAATATTCCACTCACATTGGTATTTATACAAACAAAATAGTAATACGCCTAAAACATATAGGGAAAATCCAAAACTCATGGGATTTAAACATTTGAATCACGCCAAGATTAAAATAGGACATATTGAGACAAGCTACACCAGAATTATTTTTCTCCTATCCGACTCGACTATAAAGTGCACGATTATTTATGCACGACGTATAAATTTTTGTAGGCCAAGGAATGTAACCTAAACTGGCATAAAACTGAGAAGACACAGTAAGTAATTTTCGTCACTTTTCAGAGTTTATTTTTATTACACTCAAGGATATCCCCAACGTCATTTAAATCAATAGGATGTCTGACTAGGTTTTCCAGTTTCGAGAAATTTTAGTTTATTTACAATTGATATGTCCGTGTTATTCAAATTGGCCTTGTTAGAGGTAAACATTCCTTAATACTACAATTACATGGAGCAGAGTTTGTTTTCATTAATTCAATGTATAAATCATTGGTTAGGTTGAGTAGGGTAGCAAAATGTCAAAACAATCATCTTGCTACTTAATTTAAAGTGGTAACAATGAGAGGAATAATGAAATTAAGAATGTGGAGGGTCATTTTTAATTGCCTAGTGGAAGAAAACGACGTAAATTTATCCTGATTTTACTAAATTTAAATCGGTCAAGAAACCGCGGTAATTCGGCCGTCGCCTCTCTCCATGTATAAAGAAATAAGCACTATGAAATATACTGTAATCATCTTAAGAGACAAAAAAATATTACAATCTAGCAATTCATACACAAAATCAAATTAAGGAAGACGACGGAACAGACAAAGAAGAAGAAACGTGCCTAACCAAAAGCTTAATAAAAATTAGGACCTTTTCATTTGCGTCGTTTAGTTTATCGAGCTATTTAAAAATAATTTCCTTATTTCCTTTCAATTTTCTTTTCTGTACATAAGTAGTTTTAATCGTATACAGAGTGCTCCAAAATGTACCCGCCATAAAGAAACAGAGGATACTACAATAATAAGATTTTTTCAGTAAATTTGGTGATGCAAGGTATGGTAATATTAGTGTAAGAGATATTATTTTTTGTGAACCGTTACTACCAACTTTCATTATGTTAATTAGCCAAGTAATTGTAACAGGAGTATTTTCTAAACTTTCAAAGTAGGTAAAGTAACAGATTTATTTAAATCAGATGATCCAAATAACATGCGGGATTATAGACCAAGTACAGTTTTGTGCGCAATGTCTAAAGTTAGTGAAATTCTCGTTAAGAATAGATTATCTGACTTTATAAACAGGTATGTTGGGCTTGACAAGTTTCATAAAAGACCCAGCCCAAATAATGGATGTGGGGTACCTCAAGATTTCGTGCTTTTCACTTTTCACTTTTATACTCACTATAGCCCGTGAGACGGGGTGGCCTGTTTGGGCGCTATCTCACATTTGCAGATGACACTGTATTTTTTATAGTGGATCTAATTTAGAAACTCTTGAACAAAACGTTAATGGGAATTTTCACAGGTGTTCTGGATAGTTTTTAATAGTATGTTTTACGTAAATTCAGCAAATACAGAATACAGAAATATTTAGATAGAGAGATTAAGATATTGACAATTTCATTAAAAAAATTGCAGTTTTCTAAGGGGCCTTGTAGAGTACAGTAAATCTGATAAATATTTGGAGCCCTTAAAAGAGTACAGGCGCAGCAGAATATTATAATAATTATAGGACACCTTCTGTGAAATTGGATCCTCATTTTTTACTGCATTCCAAAAGAAATGTCCTTGAATTAAAACAATGAAACCGAATTTACAAAATTTTGTATTGTAATTGTAATCTTAAGTATAACGCGGAAAAAATAGTTTAGCACAAATTGACTGATGTTGTTAAAAAAATGTAAGTTAGTTGTTAACAATAAATCAAAAACGGGCGTTAAATGGTTAACAATTTTATTAACTCTAAAACGGGTAAGGACAGTAAAATTACTAACCAGAAAGGAACAACATATATGCTTATATGGACTATTCTTTCATAGAAAAATCGGGGTATGGGTAAGGTTGGGAAACATGTGCATCATCTGCTTCAATCCTCTTATAGCCTTTGACATTTTTAACAGAAGTTACACTTTAAACATTACTTGTCACGTTTGGAATTAGATGGAAGGTCTTTCTTAACAAATGATTTAAAATCTTCCATTTCATGATATTTGCTGGTTTAGACAGTGCTGATAGAAATTAAATGTGATTTTGCAACACTGCAAAATATTAAATTTCTCTGCAAAGCAACAGAGTTGTTGTAGAGTTGTAACATGCTTATGCGCAGTTTGGTTGTATTGTTCGATGCTGTTGTCTTCATTGTTGCGTATTTCTAGTGTTCTACAACTTATAAATATGGAAGAACAATCCAAATAACTTTTTTTATATCTGTTGTAGTATGACGTAGTAAAACAAAGGGAAACTATAACTTATTTTGTGAAAAATGTATACCACGCTTCTTTTGGTATAAAAATTGGCGATTTTCTTGGTCCCGGGCTCCTCATAATATTTGTTCCGTTTGCGTTGAAGTATTAAGAAACTGGCAAGAAGGATGAAATGTTTAAGCTTTCGTGTTTCTATGGTACGGCAAGAGCCTAGGAATCACAATGAAGATCATTATTTTGTTCGTGTAATGTTCAAGGATTCAATATAAAAAATAAGAGACAAATGATGTATCCCAAGCACGACTCTGCTATTCGACCCAGATGACTCAGATTTCACACCAGATTTCAGAGAGCCCGAAGTGTTTAATTAGAACGAATTAAATGATTTTATTAGAGATTTGCACTTTCCAAAGGGTGCATCCGAATTGTTAGCGTTCAGACTTCGTGACAAGCATTTACTTGGCAAATCAAGCTTTTACCGGAACCGCGAAAAAGAATTATATCAATATTTTGTTCAGGAAGCACCGCTAGTGTATTGTAAATATTCCTGATTAAGTTTCAAAATTAGGAAATGTGCTGTATGGCGCCTGTTTATTGACTCAAGAAAGCGTAATTCAAAAGAGGTCCCCTTCTTCTGAAGAATATAAACTACCAAGAACATCAGTGGTGACCTTAAAGTGCTGTGCGTGCTTTATTTGTGAGTGTGATAGTCGGGCAAGAGATAAACATTGGAGTCAAATAGAATGATTCTCTAGAACAAGCCTTACAGCTGGTAGCACAAATGTATTAAGAGATAGTTGACCCCAAAAAATTTTACTATTTTATATATTAAATATTTGTGCGAGATATTTCCAGCCATATCTGATGCCAAGATAAACGAAGGTATTTTTGTTGAGCCTCAGATAAGATCATTATGCAAAGAGATGGATTTTCAAAACACAACGACCAATCTCTGGGTTTCATTTAAAGAAGAAATTGATAAGTTTCTTGGCAACTCCAAGGACGAAAACTACGAAAGTATTTTTCAAAATGTTAAACGTCTAGGTTGTAATATGAATTTGAAAGTACATTTCCTGTTTTCACACTTGAATTATATTCTTGAAAATCTTGGAGCAGTTAGCACCAGGACTATAGGAAATGGAACGGTGATACCAAGGCAGATGGAGCATAATAATGATGGCGGACTACCGCTGGATGTTAAAATGGGATATGCCCTTCAAAAAACACAGCCGAATGTCCGGACAGAGCAGCTTTCTGGCAAAAAGACGAAGATTTCACTCAAAAAACTATTTCACTTTTTTACTGAATAAAAAATAAATTAGTTTAGAAATACGTTTTTTTTCCTTTAATAATTTCAAAAAAAACTTACGTGACACAAATAAATGCATAGAATTTTTGAAATCAGCCTATCAAGACTATAAAATCGGTTTTCAAAATAAAAACATCTGTCAAAAAGTTTAATTTTGTAGACCTGTGCAATTAACAAATATTTTACATTCGACAATTGAAGGTTAAGTGGGGAAGTGTAACTTCAACTTCTCCTTTTGCGATGTATCCTTTTCATGTGTTAAAATAAATTCAATATTACAATTATTTTTTATTTATCATTATCAGACTTTAGATTTTCAGAACCTACTTAATATAAAAACGAAAGACTTATTTACTTAAAATGTTTTTTTAACACTAATGAATACTTGGAGGCATACCACTTTGGACTCAAATTTTGTATTATGTGTAGTCACTAGCTTAATATTTGTCAATAACATATACTAGTTAGTTACTTCTGATTATTGAACTGAGATGCCTTTTACTTGATGAAAATCCATTTAATAAAATAAATAAGAACTAGCAGTTCAGATTTTCACGAAATTATGTATTTTCAAATGACAATTGTTTCGGCAACACCGTGTCTTTATCAAATGTGGCATTTGATAAAGACATGGTGTTGTCGAAACAATTGTCATGTGAAAATATGAACTTCTAGTTCTTATTTCTAATTATTATTGTTTCAATGTTTTTTTTTTTATTTTGAACGCCCCATCAGTCTATTCTATTCGATCCTATGATTAATATATAACAATAGTACATTCACACAGCCAAAAAAAATTATAATAAGTTTTCCAAAAACAAAATACTGTTATTGTGAATTCCCTATATGATACAAAATATCCTTGATTTGATTCTCACACAGTGGAACGAAATATCTACTGCCAAAAAGGCATAAAATTTGTTGGTGAATTAACAAACCACTAGCTTACCATTTCAGTCAGTTCGAAAATTACTATATTTTTGTAATCAAACGCTGACCCAAAACATAAACAGGTTATCACGGTACATTCAGTACACCGTATTACGGCAGTGTGCAAAAAAGGGGGCGTTAAAAACATGTGAAAATTACGTGTCTTTAAAAACTCACACTCACAATCGCCTGTGATGTCGATTCCAGTTACGAATCAGTTCCGAATCGTATCTGTTGAGGAACGTTTCCGACTTTGACTGTCTCCTAAGCATTTTAAATATAATTTTATGTTCGAGGATGTATGCACACGCGTATCGTTCGCGAACGAAACACAGTAGCTGCAGACGCGATAACCATTATTAAACAAATTCTCGGGGAAACTTGACAGACACACGAAGTCGATTGTATTCTCGTACGTATATACGTCGGGTTTTATCAATACACGTGACGCCATTATTTTGTTGATTTTCCGCGTTTTTTCTGAAAAGTTGTAACATTCATCGCGTGGTATTCAAGTTCCGGTGACTACACGTTATATCAAATCATTTGAATATCCCAATTCGATAACCAACTGCTTATATTCATACTTGCAAACTTGTGAGTGCAAAGTGTGAAAATCATTAGAAAAAAAAAACAATGAGAGCCCAGAAAATCGTAAATAAAAAAGAAATTGCAGATCTGTTTATTCATCACTTGAGTAATGTTGAAAAAGAAATGGCTAGAAAGATCAAAGTAAACCCAAATGGGAATTTCGTTTTTCTACTCCCGTCTTTAAAATACCTAATTACCCACCGATCTAGAGTGCGGGAAGCGTTACTTTACCACGTCAGTTTCCTTTCCCCTGAATCCGGACATTTCCGGGATTTTACGGTACAGACTCGGGAGCAATCGGATGTTTTCGGAGATATTTCCCACGCTTTGAATTTTGACCTTTGTCAATTCTGACGGTCATGTCAGTGAATGTATGCGTGTTGTTTTGCGAAAATGTACCCAAAAACTAACGGTTGTAGAAAAAGTATAGTATGCAATACGTTCGGTAAACTTTTTAACTCACTCGTTTATTAAATACTCGCTCCGCTCGTGTAAAATAAACTTGTGAGTCAAATGCCGTTTAAGGCACTTGTTGCATAATATACTATTAAGCTTCGGTATTGTTTAGTTAGGTATAGTCTCTTAATAACGGAAATCATCGACCTTAAGTACACTTAATAAATGATATTTTTGAAGATTTTTACCTGGACCAGGTGTGATGCCACGCTTCTTCTCCGGAATACGTAGCCTTGGAGGCCATCATCGACATTTGCGAAAAACACCTCTTGATGCCGTTTCCCATTGCTCCCATCTTGTGTTTCTTGCTTGAATCGCTACCCTTATCGTTGATATCACTGTTCTTATCGCACACCACTACCGGGTCCATGATTTGTATGATATAATTAACTTTTACCGGAGCTTATAGCAGTATAACTGGGATTAAGCCCGAGAAATAAGTATTTTGTTTGTTTTTTCTGACCAAACCACTATACTGTTTCGTCGCCATTGCAACTTCGTTTTTAAGTGAGTGAAATTATTCAGCACTTCTACAGCTAACATCATTAGTGTGCAACAGTCTATTTATGCGAAAGCAAATATTATAGCACGAATTTTGGGGAAACGTAATGACCCTTTGTTATACGTGCTTTCAGATCGAACAAACTTGATCAACCTAGACCCACACGCAAGTGGATGTTTTTTGTGATCGTCCAGTCAGGAACTATCGTCTATCTACCGATTAAACTTTATGCACAAACAGTCGTTTTGTATCTTTTATACAGTGTCACATCTGAACTGGAATGATGATGGAGTAATAGAAAAGTGACGCAAATTTTAAAACAAAGACGGCTAGTAGTGGGAATGTTATTTGTCTTATGCTCATTTATGTTACGGTGACCCCGTTGTTTGATTATTTTATTTACAAATTATTGTTGGGCGATCAAATAATATTTTTTCAAAAATTTGTATACAAAATACATTTAACAATCTTTAAAAAAAGCGCATTCAAATTGATAACGGTTAACAAAAAAATATTTTACCTGAACATTTTACCAATAAAATGGTAAAATGTTAAATTTCTGTTTGAAGATCTTTTGACATAAATTAAAAACACAAATGGAGAGGTATTAAGAACAGACAAGGAAATGATGCAGAGATGGGGGCAAAAATTACAAGAACACTCCACGTAAGTATGCCATGGAGATAAAGAAGATGATAGGTAATATAAGAAGAGAAGAAATAATAATTATACAATAAATACAAATACAATACAAATTATTTAATAAGGTGTGGACCGTCCTTCGTCTTTAATAGACCCAATATCTAAAAAAGGGGATAAATCCTCTATGTGCCGCAATAAAAATATGAAAACCAGTCCTGTACAGAAGGATTAAAGCGGTGAGAAAAAATACTCCACAAGAATCTCAGAGTGGATGCAGAAAGGGAAGAAGTACACAGGATCAGATATTCACAGTAAAACAAATAGCTGAAAATGCAATAGATTGAGATAATGAAATATATGAAAGAGAAGAGAGAGAGAGAGAGAGAGAGAGAGAGAGAGAGAGAGAGAGAGAGAGAGAGAGAGAGAGAGAGAGAGAGAGAGAGAGAATATTTTTGTTTAAGAGATATGGAGATCACCGCTTTCATATGACATGCATTTAGAAATTGATCCGACCCTGTATAACAAAACATTTACATAACTATGCTTCGTAACCACTATACAAAGCCTACACTCACGGCGTAGATTCTATAAGCCATAATCGTTAGGAGACAAAAATCTCGACATAAAATTAAAAACCAATTATATTGCTAATTGAAAGTGTAAGCGGAATTTCACTGGTATGGAAACACTCGATGATGACTTTTAATTTGAATTTAAACCCTTAATTTAATGAGATATGCTCTAGAAGTTTCGTATTTTCCATCAGGACTTTCGCCTTTATAATTTATTTATTGTTATATAAAAGTAAAGGTTTTATTTTGCACAGTGGATAAGACTAAGATCAAATTAAACAAATTAATAAAAACGCATTTATAATATCAATCAGAAGTTTAGCGCTCCCATAATATTAATTATTATTACTTGTATATTATTATATATACAAGTAGCAAATTGCTACAAATGTTACAAATTACAGGATTTTTTTACAATATTTTTTTAAAATTAAAGCTACAATACCAACTATAACCCTGATTTTTTTTCTAATTCATTGTTACTTAATTTTTATATACTCTAATCAATCAGATTTCTTTTGAACATCCTTAGAGTTGGCGCCTCTTTAATATTACATGACAATACGTCATACAGGATGTTTAAAAACCAGGAGTAACATTCTAAAGTTTTTAGTAAGCTAGAAAACTTTTTTATTCTTAATAGAAAGGGTATGTTTTTATACCATTTATGGATTGCCCTTAAAATTCACTATTTTTCACCTTATACCCAAATTTGTCTTTGCAGGAAGGACAAAAAACGAAAATAACGATTTAATCAATAAACTAAATTCTTAAATTGAAATAACAATAAAAACTATTTAAAAATACAAAAAAAGTACTTATTTTAGCAAAATGCTCAAAGCGACGTCCTTCTGCTGCTATAGTTAAAATTTGGGCTCTTATCTGTTTTTCTAAGCCAGTCAAAGTGTTGGTTTTGTTCACTTTAGTTTTAAGGCGACCCCAAAGAAAACAATAAAAGGGATTTAAATTTGGTGACCTAGGCGGCCACTCGTCTCTCTTCGTCTGATTCGAGAAATTTTTGATTCAAGTACTTTCTTACATTTTGTGTATAATGGAAGATGCGCTATCTAGTTGAAATCACCCACGGTTATCAACCATCCCTGCTTCACTAATTATGATATTCTAATTGGGGGAAGGACCTATAATATTTCCACTAATTATTCCAACACATATATTTAGGTATATTGGGTACGATATTGCATCATCCAATGGGTATTTTGGTTTGACCAGTATCGGCAATTGCGTCAAAAAAAGGATCTAAATTGGAATGAATGAATGAAAGAAATGACGCCTCAAAATGTCATTTAACAGTTCAGCCAAAATATAATATTTTCAGGTTATGTTTGTCTATTTTTGTTTTGGCCCGTATAAAAAAGTAAAGAACTGATGACATGCTGCTAATAATTTTTAGATAGAAGAAGATCGAAAGCAGCTTTGATAAAGTATTGACTTTTGTAAAAATTCAGATAATTTTCGCATATTTGAATTAAAACTTTTGAAAGAATGAATTTTTATTTTGACTGGCTTTAATCTATACCGGATATGAAGAGAGAGGTAAAAAAACATCAATATTTGAAAATTACGTCATATAAATATTAGTTTGTAAAATGTTTGAATAATTTGGTATAAAACGGAAGACGTTATGCCAGTCCTAAGTCAGTCTGAAGTTGACTTATAATTGTCTTGGCCTAATTGATATGGAGAATAGCTTTTAGTGCTATAAATGGACCAGCATTCTTAATATATTCAATTTCCTATTATTTAAAAGAACCCCAAACTTACCAGTTTTTAGTCCTTTACGAAACCAAAAATTGTGTTTTTTTGGGGAAGTTTTAGTTCAATATCATAAGGCCCAACTTTCCAGTTCTTCTTTATTTACACTACATTACGTTTGCGTAGGTCTGTATCTATCTAGCAACTGGCTTTGAAGTTTATATTTGATTCTTTTTTTTCTACTTTTTGTGCTTGGAATTTGTCAGATATGTGTGAAACCTCGGTGATAAGAGAACCCAAAGGTGAACTTATTTCAGAGAAGGGTCGCATAAGATTTTCAAAATACCATAAAGAAGTTTTGTAAACTTCAGCGTGTACCAGCCCCACTTTCTACGACGTAAACTCGACTTATCTTTGACACAAGTTATGTTATTATTTAAAATGCACAAGCAAAAAACAAATTGGAAGAGGTACGCGTTTATTAGTTCATAATAATATAACCTTTCTTTTCGATTCATTTTACATAGTTGGTATTACTGAATTAATGAACAATTGCCGAAAATTAGAACGTTTATCTTGATTTCACTAACGATATTATATTCAGTTTCTTTCCATATTGTCCCAGAATAAATGTTAAAACGGAGCGCATATATGTCTTTTTAGTTTGGATTTCTGCCGATTGGTTCCTCTTAAAATTTCAATCAGACTTGTTGTTTTGTGGAAATTAGCTTAGTTTAGTCAAAATTTACCTGGTCGAGAGTTATATGTGTTAAGTGTAGCTTTTTAGCTGATATTGACTACAAAACAAATCGCACGATTTATAGATGATTGATAGTAAATTTGTAAAAAATTGATCGATTCGATATTAAAATTCAAGATGGCACACCCATTTTAAAAATATGAAAAACTGATTAGTTTTGGCTAGTTTTGATTTCCTGCCAGACATATAGGGGGATTTTAAGTCACATGTTCACATGTATTTTACAAACCGGGCATTGTAAATCTTGTAACTAATCTGGCTACAGTTGACTTCGTCAGTCTATTTGGGTATACAGTATGAAACAATTCGCAGAGTACAGGATAGGAACGTTTCCTATCACCACAATCAACAATCATTAATATTTCAATTCTTAGCGGAATTTACATGCCGCTTAGGACATCGTCAAGTAATAGAAGCACGTCAGTAAGTCATTAAAGTAACAAACTTTTTAATTTATTTTTTAATAGTTTTGATGGTGATTTTAGTTTAGTCATTCGTTAAAATCATTCATTATGTCTTTCATATATTAAATTCTAGTTTATTGATTAAATTATTAAGGTTGAATTTGGGTATGGGATATGCTACATGAAATATACTTTGAAATTTAAGACCAATCTAAAAAATGTAATAAAAACATACTCTGCCTATCTATAATAAGAAAGTTTGCTAGCTTAGGGAAAAAATCATATATATGGCAACGTCGCTCATATCGCCAATGGATACGGCCTAATTAGAAACCCAATTTTACTAAATCTTATAAATTTAAGCCTAATAATTTCAAAGATACATGGCCGTTGTGCAGCTTTTGACTAACCCTGTATATATTACAAGATGTTCTTGCATTATATATATGTTATTGCACCTAATGACATTTTTTTTTTAATGTTTACAAGTTATCTCAAGCTCTTTAACATATCCCACTCACGTTATAGCCAGAATTTGTAGCAACCTTTGCCAAAAAACAATAAAAAATCATCTATTTAATTGGACACGTAATTAACTACAGACGAAACTCGCTAAATATAAACTCAAACTGAACGAAAATAGTGTCGACATTTTCCGGGGACGATAAAAAAAACCTAGTAAAAGTAATTTTCGCAATGTTACACAATGATAAAGAGCCTGGAGAACGTAAGTTATTTTTTGGACACAAACCGCAGACTTTAAAGTGCTCGTTAAAGCGGTGAAATGCACGTAGAGTGTTAATTAGCCGCAGCGTTTCTAAGTACGCAAATCGATGGCATATGTAAAAAAAAAACAATAAAAATTTAACAACAAAAGTTTCTCGGTTGTGTTTTCCTTGAAACGCGCCATAAAATGTACACTTTTGAGATATAACTTTGATGTTATTTTCAAATTTACACGGAAATCGATACCTCCTCTCCGTGAGTTTGAAAATAACGTAAATAATTAGAAATATTTTTGTCGCGCTTTGACGTCGCACCGCGATCAATTTGTCAAAATTAGAAATACAAAAACAGAATTATTGTTCGTCTGAATATTTTAAAACACCTAGAATTTAAAAGTATATATAAACAAACATCTTGTGAATTTATTACGACGTATTCGGTTCAATTGAAATATATTTTCCAAATTTGTAAATTCATTACCAAATAAATTTACCAGATTGACCACATGTATGTGCTAGAATTACATCTATAGATTTGGAGTAGGCCATGGAAGCTTGGTTTGCATATAATGGTATATGCATGGTGTAATAAAACAATTGAACGCTCGGTACTATCGAATAATGTCAATGTTGCCTTGTCAATTAATAAGCAATGTCAGTGCCAGCAATATTATATAATGGTACTTTATCAAGAGATCAATGAATTGAGTTGAAAAAAAAAGCTATTTTTTTCAAGTAAATTTCCAAAAAATTATTTTATGAACTTCTAGATCAAAAATTTTTGCAGAGTCTCGTGTCTAATTTATTTTTATTTAATAGGTAACTATTTTTTTAAATCAACGCCTTGAGCGGTTTCGGCAATCCGCAAAATATTTATTCTTAGTTTTGATTAAAATATGAAATAGAAACTGCAAATAAAAGGGAAGTTCAAGCAATTTCTGTTACCATTTGTATGATATCAAAATCTTCAAACTTTTAATGCCAACATATAAACAACAAAATAATTTTGCTTTTTGGTATTGATAAATTTGACAAACCGATCACACTGTGTCAACACTATACTAACTAGGCAAGCATTCACCGTTACAGAGATGGTAAAAAAAATTGGGGACAGAGCTGCATTGAAAAAATTCCAATGGCGCAATAAAATCTGCAGTTTGCAAAAACTACTTAGACATAACTGATGATTAAAAT